CCCCAATGAAATTATCTACAAGAAACTATTTGTATGCATGAAATACTGAGGATTTAGCATTTAAATCTTTTTTCGGTAAATCTTTTCTTCTCGGTAAAGGAGTATATTATACAACTTGAAAGAATCTGAAAAACACGAAAACACAATGAAAAGCAGCATGATTGATTATCTCTACCTTACCTCATATATGGTGTAATATCAAATGGCTTCAACACTCGACTGGGCTGTCTTGGCGGAGGTTCTGTAAAGTATTCCTCTTGCTCAGCGGCGATTACAGACGTAGATGATGACGAAATATCAGCTGAAATAGAACATTGTGGAAAATTAGCAAACGAAACGTTTTGGTGTCAATTCACAAAAAATAGACCAAATCTGCCGCCCATTTTACTCGTATATATTTTATATGCTTGATTGCCTTTGTTCTATTCTGTGCTTAAACCATCAGAACAATGACAATGTGTCAGGTTTCTCTGGCAGGCAGATTCCTAATTATTTTCTGGGTATCGTTAAATTATGTGTTAGATATTCACTACTTTTTACCCATCAACATACCGACTTCACCCTGTTCTTCGCCTTGGTCTCCTTCTATTTCGGGATCTTTTACTTGGATTAAATGTTCATTGAGAAATTTCTGACGACTTTGGTATGCCTAGAGAAACAACAACACAAACATGATTGAGCTATTCAGTATAAACACAGTTTATACTGGACAGTTCATAAGTTTTGAAATACACGGATTTGCAGTTGTATCCAAACCAAAACAGCGGGTTATATTTCAACCCAGGGTTAGCGCTAATCTAGACTTGCCACAAGTCAACTTTTTTTCTTTTTTCGACGAAAAAAACAGCCACAGAATAAAGGGCTTCGGAAAAGTCCAACGCTAATCCAGCGCTTTGAACAACCGGGCCGTGTACTATTAATAAATCTAGTTTGATTTAGCTTAGTTACCTTGGCAGCTCTGCCAGGCTGAGCAGCCTCCCATGCAACTTTCATCGCACGAATTTCATCCTGCCGTTCTGTGTCTCTTTTCACATCTATATCGTCCTGTTGAACATAATGTTTAATTATTGTCTCATGAACTATGGACTAATTTATGCACGTGATTTAAGGACGTGATTTATGCTATAAAGAACTGGATTGGGTTTGAAAGTACTATTTAAAACATGAGCAACAGTGTCTAGATCACTTACAGCAAAACTAGCATCAGTAACAATTCTCAAAGTCCAGTGAGGTTTTGTTGTATCAAAATTCAGCTGTTGTGAAGCTGGTCGTGAGCCAGACTGATTTTTACTTGATCGACTTTCTTTGCCGTCTTTGCTTTTCTTGCTTTTACTTTGTCCAGCGGACTTCTCGCCGCGACTGGCTGACTCGGACACGTCTAGAGATTTCAGAGTAAAAAGACACTTCATCTATATCAATGACCAACAACTCTTGCAAGTAAAATCATCTCAAGTGATTGGGGGAAGGGGGGGGGGGGGCAGGATTATGCAGTTGTCTGGTTATGGTTTCACCTTAGTGAAACCAGGTTTTGGTAGAGAGCTCTAGTTTTCTCTTGCAATGATACTGGATAATAACGAAGGCTATTATTGGACCTCTAGGAAGCATAGTTTAGAACTGATTGAGCTATCCAGTACAAATAAAGTTACTTTAGTTTGGCTTCTTCCTGTAGTAAGACTGGATCAATAAGAGATGATCCTTAAAATAAAGTTAGTTTAGGTTTTTCCTGTAGTAACACTGGATCAATAAGGTAAGCTTCTTGATGGTTCTCAACGATGGTTCTCTTTCTAGGGAGATCAGGTTAGGCAGAAGTAATAGACATCTAGCTATCCAGTATAAATGAAGTTAGTTCAGTCGTCTACTTACAATCTGGGGGATCTGGCTTCTCGGCGTTCCTTTGTGCAAGAACAAAGTCCCACGATTCTCTGGACAATGGCCAACTGTCGCGTAGAACCAAAGCTTGGATGATGTACTTGTGAACCTGAAAAACACGATACGAGTTATTACCGTAAATGTGGTCACTTTACCTGATGAAATATCATATGCACGAATCCACCAAGAATTACCAACAGATAAGTGAGCTACCTGAGGTTTCATGTCATCCTCTTGGGTAATACTGCGATTCATTCCTCGACCTTCATTGCGTTTGTCCTGCAAATATACAAACTGTTGATTTAGTCTTCAACTAATGTATACGTACACGAAAACGAGGCTTTATAGCCAAAGTGACAAAGATGAATTTTGACACTAAGGAGTCAGCGAGTCTATTGATACCAGACTTCAAAATTGATCCCTTACATCGAATTTTTGATGCCCAGTGATAATTAGCTGTTGTTACTCTAAGTGTATATTCACACCGGGCAAGCTTGAAAAAATGCCTGGCCACGGTGGGAATCGAAGTTGGCAGAGCAATGGGCTAGTATTCCAAAGGTCGTAGGTTCGATTCCCACCGTGGCCAGGCATATTTTTCAAGCTTGCCCGGTGTGGATATACACTCAGAGTAACATCACAAGCATCATATTCACCTGAGTACATTACACCAAGACAGAAAAAAAAGTAGCTGTGTCAAAATATGGGACACAGCTTTTGACCTTTTTAAAAAGTCTCCCTTGTGACGTAGTTTGCGTATTAATACGATCATCTGGCCAATCAGGCAAGCCAAATGGCTGTGCGGGGTTTTCCTTTATCCACAAACTACGTCACAAGGCAGACTTTTTAAAAAGGTTTATTGCATTGTTTTCGGACACACATATGGACTGCTGTTCAGACACTGAACTCTAAAATCAACATTTCAACACAATCCGTACCAGTGAAGATCCTGGGCGAGAATGGGCTGGGGAATTGTCTTTGCCTTTCTTTGATTTCGATTTAGGATTCTTTCCTCCAGCCGTTCCAGCACGAGCTGTCGCAGCTTCACCATCCTTACCGCTGTCTTTACTTGGAGGTCTGGAACCTAACAGAATATTTTGAAAACAATATCAACTTTGTTTACTTTGTGTACGTGCAATCCTACAAAATTTTTTTTGGAATCGTAGATACAGGAAAGTATTAGAAGGGGATAGATTTTGCATGAGAAATCTGGTCAACTCTTACCTAGCCGTATCGATAGTAGAGAAGTTCAGATTCGGACAATGCGTATTATTAAGCCTAGTGAGAGATCGCGGTCGTGTTCGAACCTCTTCAATATATGAACGAAGCTGACTTAGCCTATATATTTATCTTACTGTCTGTCTAACCACTTGTTCCAGTTCCTCAAATGGGAAAGGGTTATTTTGCAGTTAAAAACTGTTAGAATCTCCACAACCAGTAGTGCGTTCGAAGTTTCGAACCCATCATATAAAAGATGGCTGCCATGCTGAATTTCCTTTTGCATTTTATCACTGGCTGGTAATGCTCACCTCTCTTGCGTTGTCTGTTTTCTTCCTCGCCAGCATGTCTGTCTCTTCTTACGATGTACACAGGTAAGACTGCATGACCCCGTCCACAGGAGCTTGCTACTTCTCCCTCGTGGTCCAATATCTACGTACAGTATAGTTGTACCAATTAAGCCTGCTTTTACACTATCCAAGTTTCTTATAGGAATTTTGAAAGATTTTTAAGAAATGTTGAAGGAACTGACTCATTGTTTAACATTACGTCCGTTTCCTCAAACATTTCAAACTAAAATCATGTAAAGACACACGTCTGTTGTGTCTAATAAGGATTACTTAAATAAAGATTTCTACA